TTTCAATTGACAGCTAACAACTTTATAACTTGCCAGCCAGACACCGAAGGTAGCAATTTGTTTCGAATAGGTTTTTCGGAAAAGATGAATAATGCTGTTGACATTATAACGGAGAACGTTGGCTCTGAAATATGATCGAATTCGGGCATGGCTAGAGTATAGAGAACAAAATCACAGGAAGGTATTATTTTTAGTTGGCGTGACAAAGTAAACCCCCAGAAAATGAACCCCTATAGGATGATCAAAGTTATCTGGTACCTGCTAGGATTACTCCGTTAGCCTAGCAGCCCTTTTGGATTCTGTTTTCCTTGACCCTGAGAGTCTAGATTCTTCTCTACTAAAAGGTTCATCTTTTTTTAGTCCCCTAATGATCCGTATTTCAGGCTGCAGGCACATACAAAAGTGAACGAGTCATTGAAGGGCCACAAGGTGTTCTCGTAAAAGTCAAGGGACAGTCAAAGCCCGTTCTGAACTTCTGCGCCAACAACTACCTCGGACTCAGCAGCCACCCTGAGGTTTGATTACCTCCAAATTGAGCGAAAGCGCATGTATGGTCCCGGGATCAAAGACTGGGTGGATATGGGAGAATTCAAAATGGAGCAATTTTTCACTTAATAAAGCCATTATAAAGGTAATCAAAGCCGGACAAGAAACTTTGGCTGGACATGGAGCAGGTCTCTCTTCAGTCAGATTTATCTGTGGTACACAGGATATCCATAAGCAACTCGAATCCAAAATTGCTCAGGTGGGGTCTTTCACACTCCAAAGCTCGTAATTACCATGAAAATCAGGGCCTTCTGATGGTACGTGGAGTCATAAACATTCTTGAGGATATTTGTTTCAGTTCCACGGTATGGATGATGCAATTCTGTACGCTGCCTGCTTCGATGCAAATGGTGGTGTGTTCGAGGTCCTGACAGGTATGTCTCCTAATAGTGAGCTTCTAGGTGCCATGGCTAAGACCTAAAGTAGGCATAACATTCTGAGACCCATGGGTTCAAATTCTTCCCAGGCCTGTGGGACCCTCTTTCTATGTCTGCGGCCGATTGACTGGAATCCCAACCGCCTGAAAGGTTAGCAGTAATGATTTCATCAAAACTGTGCATTTGTTTTGGTTTATTTGATTGCCGTTTCTAGCCTTTCAAGTTTGCTGGATGAATGTTTTCAGAACAGGGCTTAGTCAAATGCAGTTGGTCAGATATCAAGTTCGTTTTATCATCTGGGATCCCATTGTGTGTGCACTGATTCTCGTGCCTTCATTAGTAAGTCAAGCGGAAGTTCAGGATCAGAACTGCGCCGAATGAAGCACGACTTGTTTCTGTGAGTAGTGAGTAAGCAGCTTAGTCGGCCCTGACTGGAAACAGGGATTACTGACCGAATGATCATGCCCTTGGAGATACCTATAAGCCATCATTGAGATCTTATATACATATGATCGAGTCTTATACTCCTCATTCGCNTCAGTCAAATGCAGTTGGTTAGATATCAAGTTCGTTTTATCATCTGGGATCCCATTGTGTGTGCACTGATTCTCGTGCCTTCATTAGTAAGTCAAGCGGAAGTTCAGGATCAGAACTGCGCCGAATGAAGCTTGACTTGTTTCTGTGAGTAGTGAGTTAGCAGCTTAGTCGGCCCTGACTGGAAACAGGTCAGGTCGATTACTGACCGAGTGATCATGCCCTTGGAGATACCTATAAGCCATCATTGAGATCTTATATACATATGATCGAGTCTTATACTCCTCATTCGCTTCTGTAGTGACCTAGTGATGCTGTAGAAAAAGATGACTCGCCCACTTGCGGTTCTAAAATCCGTGGCTCGAACTGTTGGATCGGGTAGGGATTCAATATTCCCTGTGGGTGAAGCTTAATGAACAGCATAGATAACCAGTATTTTAGAGTAATCGAAGAAATATCTCATCCTTGTAAACGACCACTGAAATCAACCGTTTAGACCCCAACGACGTCATCATTTCCGACGAGTTGAACCATGCCTCAATCATCGACGGAATCAGACTTAGTAAAGCGAAGAAGATGCGATTCAAGCATATGGACATGGCTGATTTGGAAGAGAAACTGAAAGAAAATCAGGGTAAGTCCGTAAGGAACCTCAGTCAGTTGAAACTGAATACGAAGTGAATCTGCTGAAAAGGGTCCCATTCTACACTAGCAAGAGATGGAGGTGTAATCACTCTATTGAAGAGAATGAATCGAATCTAGCTCTAACAGCAAAGAAATTTCTTCGTTGCGGGCTTGCGTGAATATTACTATCTATCAGCTTTCCTATCGGTACTCATACAATGTAATTATTTCCATTATCGATATGTTTGATGACTACAGAAAAATCGATTCCATCGGGTTTATACTTCTGAGCCGTTCAGGCTTACTCAAGCGATCTTATCCATTCAATTGGAAATTCGACTTTTTGATCAAATTATATGTACCTTCCATAGGACCGAAAAAGGGCTTTCAGCCTGATAACATAATGGCATTGTTTTGGGCTTACGTGCCATTTCCAAAACTTAACGACCTCCTGTGTTTGTGTGGCCGTCACGGGGAGATTTTTTGTTGTTTTTCTCCCTCTGTGACTAGCATAGTATCGTTGCTTAGTGCACGTATTACCTTGCAAAGGCCATCAATATTCCATAGACTTTATCTGGCTGTCCACCGAGATGAATGGACTCCGGTGGAACCGTGAAGAGACGGTTTTTTTTTCAGCTAAGATATTCCGTGTCTCCCTGGGTTCCAAGAAAGTGTTGGTGGGGGAAAGTAGACGAAAATGATGAAGTGCTTCATGAAAAACTGGAAGTCCGAACTGATACTAGCCCGTTCAGGACGGCAATTTCATTGAAGGGTGTCATGCAAACAAAGCGTTTCTTTCAAAACAAACCACGTGTCACCGAAGAAAAAAGCGAAAGAATATAAATCTAATGAAAATAGAAAAGCGAGCATGTGATTAGAAAAGGGAAAACCAGAAGTGTACCAGTCCTGAACCAAATCATTTTGACAAATTAAAGTTCCCAGAAAGGAAACTTCCAGGTTCGAAAGAGTAATGTGAAGCGAAAGTGAAATACAGATCTTATCCCTCGCTGATCAGTTTCTCTTCCTAGACGGGAACTTATACGTAGCTTACAAACGCCTAGAAGTAGGGTAGGTAGTGATGACTGGGCGGTAGTTGACGAGAGCAGAAGGCTTTTCCATCGGTAAAACTATTCTACGTGGTTGAGAATTGTGTGAGAGGAAGGGAAACAGCTGGAGGGCCAGGGACAATTGTCAGGGCCCTACGGTCGTCATCTAGATCGTCACTAAAGATTGTTCTGCAGAGTTTAGCAATGTTCAGAGGCACGTCAGCGAGTGATCGTGACCGATGGAGTATTTTCTATGGATGGAGATGTTGCACCACTGAAAGAGATTTGCGATCTAGCAGACAAGTAAGTAACCCATCCAACTACTCCGTTTTCCAAAAACTCTAAGGTAGATTGAGCAACTATCTTCGATTGTTATGACAAAGCTGCCCAGTTAGAAGCGCAAAAATTGGCTCAATGATGGGATGGGACTCATGCCCGTCCGCGCTGTCCATTACACCATTGAGCTCATACAAGTTTTTTTTTATCAATTTTGAACAGAACGAGGTAGCGCATCGAATCTTCGATGACCTTTACCTCGGAATTTTTTTATTTTAATTTTCCTAGACGCAAAACCATTCATCATTTTGAACTCAGGTACAACGCCATTGTGCTCATCGATGAATGCCATGCCAGCGGATTCTTTGGCCCCACAGGCAGAGGAACTGAGGACGCTCTAGGTTCCCAGGCTTTTCTTTCTTTTTCCTTACCTTCTTAATGCTTAATTCACAAATAACTGCTGGCTCTATTGTAACATTGAAGTCCAAAGAACTCCCAGGGGTATTGCCCTACGAATGACTAGAGTTACCTAAAGTTATTCATGTGGAAAGCTTTTATTGAAAACCTGGATACAGTTAAAATTTCGTGAAAGTTCCACATGACTTTTACACTTTTGACTTACCATACCCTACCAAACAGAATATCATTTGATATGATCTAAACGATATTTAAGGGAATCCTCACTTCGGAGAGGAAAAAAGAGTTCGTGGCAGGAAACAATCCCTTGTGATATATAAAAAATTGAATGGATGGTTAATAATAAGTTATACTAAGAGATTATTTTGTAGGAATCAGAGGACGTGTCGACATTATCAATTCGACATTGGGTAAAGCTCTTGGTGGTTCTATGGGAGGATACACCACTGGTAAGTAATAGTGTCAGCCATCATCGTTGAACATTTTTGATATTTTTTATTTGTTTGTTCGACTCTTTGCCCATTTTACGCTCGATTAGCTGACTCCTATACAGCAGCAAAACCAAATTCTACGCTCTCATCCCATTTTATAACTTTATTTCGACCAATTAGGACTATTTCTACTTTGAATCAATTACAACTACATTCTAGATGATTATTCTTCCATAGCTCAGATATTTCTTTTGATTATTGCCTTTGTACACTAATCGGACGGAGGTGGTGTAGGTAACAGTAAGGGTTCCAGCGCATACTCCTGGTAAGGGGATCGAATCCCTGATTGCTGCTCGCACAGGCCACCCAAGTCCTTAATCCTTCTGGGCTTGTTTGATTGATTTAATGCTCTCGTGAGCGAATGGAAACGCTGGCTTGCTCATCGAAACGTCATTGCCAGTCACTGTATGTGCCAAATAGCACAGGAACGGTTCTCTTTTTCCGAGTACGCATACCCTAAGAGGCTGGTAATACCGTAATAATGAAGCATCTAACTGGATTTTGTTTGATTTTTGAGCAGACTTTGAGCGCCATATTGGATTTTTCTATGAACATACATCATTCTTTGTGTAAGCCTCTCCGAAATCCATAAATAATGGTGACTATAGTTTATTTAAATAGAGCAGATAGCTGAATAATGTCAATCGAATAGAACGTGCAAATTCTAACGAATCATTTGGACAATGGAGCGACACGTGGCATGAAAGCCCATCGTTTTTGACGCGGTTTTTTCCCGAACAGCAGAACCACGTGGCGCCACATTTATCCTGAAATTGTGTGCAGGGACAAACAATTCTGGACACCGTTTTTGATTGTCTCATCGGAGCATAGGGACCGAAGCATGAAACGAACCCCAATGTTTAATCCTGCGAGGATTTGGTTTATTTTGGGGTGGTACCGAGCAGTTTAAGGCTACTTATCTAATGTAAGGAAGCTTTGCTTAAATTCCTTCCCAGATTGCTATGCTAGGGATTTTGAACCTATCTATCGAAAAGTGCTAGTTCTGATAGGCTTAACATAACCTTTGATTCTTTGGTTGTGGACCCACGGTTTCATGGTTCTTTGATATAACACTTCCCTTTCTCGAGACAAACAGAAGTAAAAAATCAGGGAATCTGGAAGGCCTCAGAATCTCCTATAGGGTCAGAAGGCGGTAGTGACTGAATAGAATACAAAGCCATCTAATTTCCTGACTTCTGGAAGCATTTGAATCTCGAGAGATTTGTGTAACCATCTTAGTTCCACCCGAACAAATGACAGAAGGAAGTGGTAATGCTCTTTACAGGTCCCAAGCAACTGATCGACCTTCTCAGACAGAGATCCAGACCATACCTGTTCTCAAACTCGCTAGCTCCAAGCATCGTGGGATCCAGTATCAAGGTATTCAATTTTGGCAGATCCCACCTATGTGGTACACTGTAGTTACAGTAATTTTATTCAGGTCTTTGATCTTCTCATGAACGATCCCTCATTCATCGGTTCACTGAAAGCAAACGTTCAGCGATTCAGGTGGTTTTTCTCTTTTGAAAATTGGTTATTGTATACTACATGGTACTATTTTAGATCTAAAATGACAGCACTCGGCTTCAAAGTCCTCGGCAACGACAGCACCCATCCGATCTGCCCGGTTCTTTTGGGAGATGCCAGGTGACATTTCGGAGTTTATCGTCCCTCCTCTCCGTACATGATCTCCCGTGATGTTGCCCTTTTGAAAATGAATGGCAACCTTTTGGAAACCTTCATTCGTGGGCATCATGGGAATTATCAAGTCTGAACAGTACAGGATTACGGTAGTGAACTGATGGGTGCACAAGGAGAAGTCCATGTTCGAAAAGTTTACATCTAATATCCTGTCCTGCAGAGAAAGCATAGACTGATTAGTTAGGATACTTACAGCCACTGAAGTTCACAGTTTCGAGTAACAGTTTTATCCAAATTGCAGACTGGCTTCCGAAATGGCTGATGCCCTACTCCAGAAAGGGATTTACGTCATTGGTTTCAGTTACCCAGTAGTACCCACTGGAAAGGCCCGTATAAGAGTTCAGGTAATGTTTCAAGTATAGACCGTTGGGATGGATTAGAAGGAATTTAGCCTTTGAAGGCATTTTCTTTGTCTGATATGGTGAGCATCCGGTGATCGGGAATCTTGTCGGTAGCGAAGGCCCAGAATCTGCCTTAGTCATGACGACACTAGTTTTGGGGCTCCACTTTTTTCTATTTGTAAAAACCTATTTTGCAGATTTCCGCAGCTCATACGACCGAACAAATTGATACTGCCATCAATGCCTTCGAAGAAGTCGGAAAGAAGCTCGGTGTTATTTAATTATATGAACAAATAAATATTCGGTTTTCACTTAGAATTTCTCATAGCTCTCTGTTTCTAATAAAGTCTTTAATTAGCTGGTGAATAAAAATGAAATACAAAAACAATCTATAAAGGGTTCATTCAGAATTCTCCCATCGGAAACAAAAGATGAATAAATGATATGTCACGATACACAAATCTCTCTACAGAAATGGTCACAAAAGGCTTCTTGGCTCGGCTCAAAGCTCGCCTCACATCTATCGAAAGTTCCAGATGCTCATTAGCACGGAACTTCTGCTCTATAGAGGAGAAGGTAGGGTGGGGGAGAGAAGAGTGAGATGGAGATTGAGGAACCTGTGGATATGGGGTCAAGCGCTAGTTGTGAATTGCACTTTAGCACCGAACTTTTTCTGGGATTCGTCTACGTAGGTTACTTCTATATAAACTTGTAGGTCACGATGGAAGTAACTATCATTGTTTTCAACAATCTGATAGAATAATTTGATAAAGTTAGATAAGCATTGCATATAAATACCGATAGACCGACCATGCTCATTCATTCATACAAATCATGTCTGAGGACAATCTGATGTGCTTTGGAAGTAATCCAAAGTTACCGTTATTCGTCAAGTCTGGAGAGACTCAACATTGGATGACTAACCTATGCGATAAAAAGTTACAATATAGGGTAAGTCGCATAGTCCGGCTTTACATAATAGGATGAGTCTCTTATGTAAATTAGTGCCGTTCTTGGGATGCGCCCCATATCCGACTCCCGTATAGATTCATAATAGTGTATTGGATGTACTGAATGTGTATGTGCCCTATACGGTGGCCAGCCGATGTGCATATTGGTGGTTTTATCCTCCCACACGAACCTGGTGAGATTTTACCCGACCCGGAAAGGATGAAACGCTTGGTTGACCAAGGCGAGTATTGATGGGAGTCTGATCACCGATTCATGCGTGTGTGATAGTGCGAAACTTGCCATTATACCACCCTTACCATTTGTTTCATTCGATTAATGAAATTAGCCGGTTACCTCTCCAATATATTGACCTTTTCATTGCAGCTTTCGTTCGAAAATCCAAACTCATGCTTCACTATAGATCCTAGTCAGACTAGTGGTGAAATCAAGGAACAAGGCCAAATTCTACTAGACTTCACTAGAAAAGTGAATTTTTATTCAGAATATATTTGTAAATCAAAAGCATGTTTAATTACTTCCAGCCCGGCGCAGGCAGAGAAGACAAGCTATTTATCGACTATACGGGAGCTGTAAAAGGAAGAACTGTAGTGAGAGTACTACCTGTAGCATAAAGCCTGCAGATTATGTTTATCAAGAAATAAAGATAAAAAGGAAAATTCTTCATGGACTTCCATCTCAAAGTGCACGGGAGGAATTATGTCCCTCCCAGCCTGTTTCGTCATGCGAATCAGGCCTACCTACCTAGTAGAACCTAACTGAATAGATACATCAATACCTGATTCCGAACTTGTATTAAGCCATGCATGTGCGTGACAGTCGCCCCTTCACTTTATTCCGCCTTCAGAGGCAAAGGTCATTCTATCATTCAGACTTCGATAGCCTAACAAGTACAGTTGATCAACCCACCACTTAAAACTTGAATCACCTATCGTCCCGTTGATTCGATTTGCTTGAGCGGGACCAGTAACGTGCCTAGGCGTCCTTGTCATGTTTGAGCAACACGCTGCATCATACCATTCCTTTCGTTTGACCACTCTTAAAGGAATACTGGAGTTCGGGTGGGACCTTTCACTAGCAACCGCTACCTCCTATCACCGTCATACTACCATTCATTCCAATCTCTTGGAATTCTTTCCAGGGGAACTCGCCATATTCTTTGGAGGAAGTGCAAGGTGCACCTAGAACTGTTTTAAGTCTGAAGAATCCAACAAAGCAGAAAGAGGGAATGGCAGGGGGAGAGTATATTTTCTACTAAGCGGATTTGTTCTGTGCGAAATTTTTTAACACAGTCGACATCGTAAATCTGCGGAAACTTTACGAACAGCCCAATCATTTCAGTTGATTTATTCAATCTTTTTATCCTTTCGAGTTGCGGTCATGTAAAGCCAGGACTGAATCGATGTAGTTGAAAGGTCAGCTGAAGTCTTTCCCCTTCTTCTATTAGGCATGGTGTGAGATACAATTGTCAATCTAATGCACACCGGGAAATCACAATAGGCAAGCCATTGGAATGCTTCTCTTGAAAATGGCCTTACGAACACGATTATCCCTCTAACTAACTAAGTTTGTCAGGTGGTGCCTAGCTTAGCCGACTGCTGATGCTGATTTTTTGCTCTTACCGTAACTTCAGAAGNAAGAGAAGTGAAGGCAGATTACTAAAATATGTTTATTCTAGCTTTTGTCACGTCACTTACAATAGCCACATGTTTTTGCACAATACTGTTTCGCAACGTCGTCATAGCCCTCGGCTGTGCAAAGGATCTGACCTTTTGGGTCCTTAGATGTAGCCATGTATTCGCAGAATCTCAAGCCCGCTCTGGTACTAATAGCCTTGTCCGAGCACTTCTGAAATGGAACATAGGGAAATAGTTTTTACCAAAAATTGCTTTCGCTCAGAGATACTGTGTGAAGCTGGAGTGATCGTAGTTTCGTATGGCTCATCCTCAGATGACTCTCCATCTACTATCTACTTGACCATTGTCAAATGGTGCTACAACCGAGTGACTCGAATGCTCACCTGAGTGGCTTGTGCACCACTTGTAAAGGCGTTGAGCAGTAGAAGAGCACAAATGAAGTAGAAGAACATGTTCAATGCTTACGAGTTCCTGATCGAAGATTGTAAGTGGGCACTATTTATATGGAATCATTGCTCCCTTTGATCAAACAAGGACAATGAAAATTATGCGTAATCGTGCGAAACCTCTTGCAAGTGTTAAGGAATA